AAAAAAAAAAAAAAAAGCTTTTTTTAAATAAAAAAAAAATAGTGGAATTGAACTTCAATTGCCATATGACTTTCAAGTAATTTAGCACAACTGCATAAACAAAAGGCCAACTATGAATTCATGTTGGCCTTCTCAATGACTACACAGTATCCAAATGCATGTCAAGCAATGATCCCCAAAATTAAACACATAAGTTTCCTTGTTTACAATATACATCAACAATACATTTCAAGAGATTTACGTATAAAGCTGTTGTCTGACCACCCCCAAGAATTACGAAGTGAATGTACACACTACAGTAGATTTTCCTGTCATCTCTTCAATAGTAAAGTCATCAATCCCTTAAGACGTGAACCGTTATGAAGAACGCACCACAGCATTATTCATAATAATTTATTCTTGATTTTTATATATCAATTTTTTTATTTTTCAATTTCCTACATTGCTAACAAAGTTAATAATACTAAGCTACACAGATTAGTGCATGTCCTCTAGGAATCCATAACAAACGTGAATTGAATCCTCAACCAAAAAGGACGTCCAGAATATTTGAAGGAAACAATATGAATCTTTAAATGTACTTATAAAGATACCTGCATCATTGATCTCATGTTTGTTGTGTAAGTTGTCGCTATTGTTGATTCCTTCTGTTTACAAAAAAAAAAAAAGGTCAATATACCTATGATATTTTAACCACATGAATTTTCACGAGATAAATTCAACCATACCTCTATTTCAAATCCATAATGACAGGCAACCCTCTTTACATCTTCCAAGCTCAGCTCGATTGACATCTCCTTAAGAGCAAATTGCCAGGAAACGGAAACACATACATATGCATACAAGAAAAGGAAAAACATCAGCTATTTATATAGTGAAAAGGAGTGCACACCTCTATTTCGGGTAATAGTGCTTACATCGTCCTGATTATACATATCAGCAAAATGATAAAGCAAGGGACCCAAATTTATCCAGACCTGACAAAATTTAACCACTCAACATAGCAATTGCGATAAGGGAGAAATTCAATAAGAAATAACCAGTATTAAAAACCACTTACACCCTCATCCTTGAGGATTCTTGAGATAATCTCGATATATTCAACAATGTTGTGTGCTGTATCTATAAAGAAACATGTCACAACTGCATCCCAAACTCCTGAAAAAACATAGAAGTTGCATCAGATATTTTGCTTCGAATTCGCAATATTTATGTAATTTAAAATCCTTTCAATGCTGAAAGAATGCCCGGGCAGAGAACACTATTTTCATTCGCCAAACATCTCTGTCTATCCTTTTAGTGATGCAAGTACAGTGAGGATATAAAGTTCAGAAAACATTTTTCAACTACTCATTATATAAAACATTAGTATCATGGTTTACCATAACTTTATCATGTATCCACTCTTGTCATGTATCAATTTTCTTTGTCCGAGAAATGTACATCGGGGAGAACAACCAGTTCACTTTGCTTACCTATTTGACTTGGATCGCTATAGACTTCAATAAAATCACCCCCACACATTGAGAAGCCATCAGTTATCCCTGAACTGTTCCAACAAATTTCTCCAAAAATTATTTATGTCAATGGTTTGAGAGCCTTACGTAAAAAATCAATGAAACTGCTTTTTACTCAGTCAAATTATTGTGAATCTACGTTATTATTCACATAACTACTTCCGGACCAACATAAATTGCAGTCAGTCGGTGACTAACTGAGAACATAAATGTATGTTTCAACAGAACGTGTAGGTGGAGTGATTGAAAGACATTATATTAAACTTCTACTTTATAGGGAACAAGCAGCAGAAATATCCTGTGAAAAATTAGGACATCAGAATCCAGTTAAGGGGTGGGGGTGTCCATACAGAGTTTCCACCCTTGATATAAATGACCAGAACTACATAGCAATGTTTATCAATCATCATACCGGCCTAGCCACCAGTATGACCACTAGCAAATCATAGTATAGATACTATATTGTCTAATATGAACAAATAAAAAATTAAATAACCATATTCTCTTTTTTGAGATTTTATTGTGTAGATTATCTTTCTCTTGATTTAGGTAGATTACAATCAGTTTTGTACGGTAGAGGAATTTTTTATTTTCGATAGGTATTGTAACCTCCTTTGTACTCCCTCTATATATATAGGAGCCCTTTGTGCTTGTAGAATACATATTTTCCAAGGAATTAATATTGCTAGTGCATCAATCAATCTAAACATCAATCAATCTAAAGGTTGTTCTGGTTGTCCACTAGTTAAGTTTAGTGAAATAGATATTTTGACTGAATATTATGGAAAATTCAGTTAAGAGCGTTGCTAACTAGGTTTAGTAATGCTTTATCAATTTTGAAAAGGCGTTTCAATTAATTAAATGTAAATTTAAAATTGGTGATAAGCGAACCAATAATTGGATTTATCTCATTCTCTTGCTTTTAGTTTCTTTTGTTATTTCGTTTTTATTTCGGTTATGTTTGTTTCGCTGATAATTTGCCTTGATGAAATTTTCAACTGCTCAACTAGATGCGTCTTTTTCTCAAACATAAAAAGGCTATTGTTTCTTTGACCCAGTTACTAAATAATTGCCCTTCCCAAAATTAATACCTCCCACTTTAGTATTGAACTTTTTTAGTTGCAATCGTACTTTCCTCCACATGTAGCTTACAACCTACAATAGTCCTCACCCTTCTTGCATATCCCACAAACTATACTTCCCTTCACTTTAGATATTACTACTTTTAGATATTACCACTGCTCAAGTTAAGCATCTATACACGAAGCGTTCTCGACCACAACCTAGATCGTTACCTTCGTCGTCGTCCCCTCCTGTAACTCTTTGAGACCACTCATTACTTTGATAGTGATATACTTATTGCTCTCCATAAAGGTATTCGTTCTTGCACCACCCATTTCTTTCTCACCATGTCTCATTTAATACGGTCATGCTTTTCGTGCTTTTGTTGTTTAAACATCTACAACAGTTACAAATTCTTACCAAGAGGCATGTAAACTACCTTCTTGGCCAGCAAATGGATGAGGAAATGTGGAGCTTGAGCGGCAATTGAGGAATTGTCCTCCCTTCACCTTGTGCTCTTCCGTAGGTATTGTTTCTTGTCGTTGGGTTTTCATTATTAAATAGTGTGTTGATGGTAATATTGACGATGAAAAATTCATTTAGCAGCAATACGATTTATTCTACATGTTCACTACATCGAGACATTCTCTCCAATCGCCTGTTGGAATTCCATACGAGTTCTCTTCTCATTCGCTATCAATCAATCTTAGTCAATGAGTTTAACTAGATATGAAAAATCTGTTTCTTCAAGGTGTTTTGCACAAAACTAATTTTTTGGAGCAACCTACTGGTATGTTTCTCAAAGGAAGCTACTACGAAGGTATGCATATTGGAAAAGGCTATTTATGATCTTAAATCAAGTCCTCAAGCTTGGTACAATAAATCCATCAGCGTCCTTGGAGCCGTTGTCTTCACCTAGTGACCATTCTATATTTATATGACGAAACACAAATGGGGTTGTCATTCGTATCATTTATGTTAATGACATTCTAATATCCGGCAATGATATACATAGGTTGATGAAACTAAGGAATATTTGTAGAAACATTTTGTTACTAAGGATACCCAGTGTCCTAGGTATTTTTTTGGGAATTGAGATTGCTCGTACTAAGTCTAAAGCCTCATCATGCCAACGAAAATAGCTAATGATATCTAAAAGAGCTCCCAAACAAGCACATACTAACTAAATCAATCGCTCTATGCTCTAGCTTAGGGGGGATATTTGAGGTTTTATTGTATATATATCTCTCTCTTAGTTTAGATTTTTATCTTGCAAGGATATCATTTTTTGGGTACGGTGGAGGGTAGTTTTAATTTTGGTAGTCATTGTAACCTAGTCTGTACTCCCTCCTCTCTATATATAGAAAGTCTATTGTACTTGCAAAATACACAAATCATTTCTCTCATCATAATTTTCATCTCTTACGTTTCATTTTTCAATAAAATAAAATAAAGCATCCCAAAGTACCAAATTCAGTTTTAAAAAATTTAAGTTAATGCTAAGATTTTTCTTTTAGTTTTCTTTATTTCAATTTCTTATTTATTGACTGGTATTTAAGGTACAAAGTCGTTGCAATCCGATATTATCTTTTTTCCAATATTTTATATTACTTTATATGTATTTATACCAGACGAATTGCGGATAACTGGTATTACAGGCTTTATATTCTACATTATTTAAAACCATGGTACATAATTACTTGAAAAAAAGATAAAACAGTATCTAAAAGGGGAGTGAAAAAGAACAATTCAAAGAAATGAGAAAGTGCCCATCTTTTTTCAAAAGTTACCTTGCTGGATGAATATCTGGAAATGAAATAGGACGAAATTGATCATTGTCTGAGAGAGAATTGCAATTACTGTGTATCCATGGATATACTGTCCACTCCTCAGCAATTCGACAGCTATGAACTTACAAATTAGCATCATGCCGATAAAAATTATAAAGAACAGAAATCCTAACACTGCCACTTACTGGTTTAATATAAAACTGGAGCATATCATCATGTAATAAGAAAACTCATTCCCTTGGCTAATAAAACCTGTAATGTATTACTACTATCAGAATATCATGTAGTAAGAAAATTCATTCTCTTAGCTAATAAAACTTGCAATGTACTACAACAATCAGGAACCAACAAAGAAAATATACAAATGAAGTACTAGGTATTATGCTCTGAACACATACCCAAACATGAAATTTCCAATGCTAACCTCCCGAGTCCAGCCCCAGGAACTAAACATGCAGGAGGACTGCTCGAGAAGAAATACGATATCAACATTTACCATGAGAAAATACCTCTTTATGAGGTGAAACTGTAATGGTAGTTACTAACATAAAGTCTACCAAGCACAGACATAATACCAACTATGTTAGCAAGTAAATAACAGGCACTGAATGAAAATTATTAAGAAAAAGGCACCTGTCCCTGGAACGATCTGGAAAAAGTCGTTCAAGTTCATTAAGTATTGGCTTATAGCACTCGTCACGTTCACGCTGACCCTAAACACAGCAAGCGCAAGTAATTAATATACTACTAATATTATAGAGACCAATTTCTGAAAGTTTATTCTAGAACGCTGAAACGGGCTGCAGCTGCTCCTACTGGACCCTAGGGCATAGACCAAATTATCCTTTTATTTAGTGAATATAATTAATTTAGTTAGTTGGCTCTTAAATGGGCTTTAGGGTTTAATTATTAATTATTAGGGTTTACTATATATATTAGTGGCTAAGAGTTAGATTAGCATTCTGGAATATTGAAGTTTGTGGCAGGCAAGATAACCCGGAGGACCCTTCGGGGTAGTTCCTTTCATTATCTATTGTTATTATTGCCCTTCACTCTATTAAATTAAATTGGTCCAGACCTGCCGATACTTGTATGCAAACAAGGATGGACGCCCGCTTCGAGAGGGTGGAACACCGTCTGGAGATGATGGAGAAGGGCATTGACGTGGTATGTACAAAATTTTCTCCTATCGAGGCTATGTACGCTGCCATTATGAAGGAGAAGGAGAAAACATCCGATTATGAGGCCTTCCATGAGGCGGACACATCCATACAACGACCCATACCACTACGTTGTCTGAGCCACCAAAAATCGACCTTCCCTAATTTGATGGATCTGAGCCAACTGCGTTGAGCAATTTTTTTTGGTTCAACACACTCCTGTGGCGGAAAAGGTTCCAATTGAGTCCGTCGCCATGTCTGGGGGTGCATTATATTGGGTTCAAGGGTTAATGCGCCGTTTTCCGACTATCGCTTGGCCCCAGTTCATTGAAGAACTATTGTTTCGCTTCAGTAGTCGTCATGTGAACGTATATGAAGCTTTGAAGGTCACGCGGCAAACTGACTCTGTCGAAGACTATATTGCTGAATTTGAAGCTTGTGTTGCTCAAATAACTAATATATCTAACCCTCATTATTTGGGTCAGTTTTTAGGTGGTTTATGTGTGGATATCCGAATTCGTATACGTGCTGACCCGTCCATGAATGTGTATTCTGCCATTTGATTGGCTCGTAAAGTGGAACGTGAATTGAATTTTGCAAACTTCCCATTGGGTAAGGGACAGCCTCATTCATCGTACTCTCCCTCCTCAAGTTCCAGCCGCCAATTACAGGGTCCACGGTTCTCGTCACCTCTCACAAATCCAACAGCCCCAAGCTCGTTCGACTCCCACCCTGAGTTATGGAGCCAGCCAAAAGGGGTCATCCTCTAATGCAGGATCCACTATCCCATCTCAGAAGTTCAGTAAAGTGCGTCAACTCAGACCTTCCGAGTACAGGCCCATTGGCAACAGGGACTATGTTTTCGATGCAGTCAACCCTATGGCCCGACACACATTTGCCCAGCCCGTTCCCTAAACGTGATGCTCGAGGGTGAGGAGTTGGACTTCTCACAACCATCAGATTCGGAGATACTCATTGTCTCTGAATTTGAATTGGTAGAAGAGGTCCTTGACCCTTTGACAACGAAAACCCCACTTCGCCAAACCTTACAACTTTCACACCTCGCAACCAAGGGTTTTGATGGTCCCCTACAATGAAGCTGATAAGCAGACTTGAGATGGTTGATAGTTGCGCTAGACATTATTTTTTTTCGGAAAGGGTTGTGGATCTATCTCACCCTCATCTGCAAGTCCAGGTACCGAACCCATTTCAGTGAGACCATACCGTTACAATCATTTCCAAAAAGATGAAATGGAACGACTGGTGGCAGATATGTTGGAAGCTGAGGTGATCCGCCTACGTTGCAACCTCGCAAAAAGGATGGTAGTTGGAGGTTTTGTGAGGACTACCGCGAGGTGAATAAGCATACTGTTCCGGATAAATATACCCTATCCCTATCATCCAGGAATTATATTAGATGAGTTGCATGGGGCAAAGTGGTTTAGCAAGCTCGATTTCCGGGCCGGTTACCATCAGATACGGGTTGCTGAAGCTAACATTTCTAAAACAGCGTTTCACACACATTCAGGTCATTATGAGTTACGAGTTTTTAGTGATGCCTTTAGGGTTGACTTATGCTCCCGCCACCTTCCAGAATGATATTTTCAGGCCTTATCTCCATAACTTTGTGTTAAGTCTTCTTTCACGACATTCTGGTGTATAGCAAAGCGTAGCAGGAGCATGTGTGTCATCTCCGACAGGTATTGGGCCTCCTTCGAGAACATTCATTTTCAATAAATCCGAAGAAGTGTTCGCTTGGAAAGAAATCCGCCGAGTATCTCGGCCATGTGGTATCGTCGGATGGGGTGCAGATAGACCCAACGAAAATCGCTGCAGTGCTCCAATGGTCGTGTCCTGCTTCTCTTTGTAGCCTGCGTGGTTTTCTTGGCAGTGGAGCAATGGCTCCACAAATTATAATAAAATGGGTGGATCACGGGGATGATGATGTGGTTTGGCTAGACACTGATGAAGTACGTGGCCAATTTCCTAATTTCAGCCTTCAGTACAAGGTTGTTTCCGTTCGGGCAGGAGTTGATAGAGACCAATTTTTGGAAAGTTTATTGTAGAAGGTTGAAACGGGCTGCAGCTACTGCACCCTAGGGTGTAGGCCCAATTATCCTCTTATTATTTAGTGAATATAATTAGTTAAGTTAGTGGGCTCTTAAATGGGCTTTAGGGTTTAATTATTAACTATTAGGGTTCAGTATATATTATTAGTGGCTAAGAGTTAGATTAGCATTATGGAATATTGAAGTTTGTGGCAAGGCAAGATAGCCTGAGGACCCTTCGGGGTAGTTCCTTTCATTATCTATTGTTAATCTTTCATTGTTTATTTTAAATAATAAAAGCTTTCATTGTTTATTTTATTATGTTTTATTTTCCTTTTCATGATTCTTTCTTCAATAATTGTGATTTTGAGTGCCTACGCTGTATCAGTAAGTGATTAAAATAATACTTAACCATTAGTTCTGATCAAGTCCTTTATAGGTGACAATAATTAATACCTCACTTGCCCAGTCTCTGACAATGTTCCTTATGATGCATCGCACCTGGAAAATTGTTGATAAATGAAACGATATTAGGAATAACATAGATATTTGCAAAGAAGACATACTTTCCAACAGAAACATGTCCAAGCTTAAGAAGCATAATACTAATTCACTTATTCACTAGATTATACACGTGCGCGCACACACACACACACATATATATGTATAGAGAAAGAGAGAGAAAATAATAATTATCGAGAAGGTTTTAAGAGTATAATTACCCTGACTGTGGCGGTTAAGCACAAGGATACAGATGAACTCTTGACTTCCATTGTACACAATACTTATTTAAACCTAAGCTCTCTCAATGGCTTCAAAACTGATTCATCACAGAAAAAACTCACCAAATACCACTGACACATCTAATGTAGTTTAAGAGGCTGAAAGTAACATTTGGATAGGTTCTATAACCAATTAAGTCAATACTTAAATATTGAACCACAACTAATTCCAACCAAAACCAATTGTCCGACTAGTCACAACCAAAATATATATATATATATATATACACATACTTATATATAAAAAGTTTTGACAACCACCAGCATCCATTTTTCTCTTTTCTGAAGAATTTGCGATCTTTTAACGCTAATAAAAGAAAACAAATACTTGGCTCACATTCAACTTATTAATTGATTTTCTATTTTACCATCACTTGTTCAATTCAACCAGGGTCTAGCCAATTCACAACAGCTAAAAGATAAAAAGGAAAGAAATAACCACTTGCAAGAAAGATTAGCAGCTTTCTACTCCTGCAGCAAATTTGCAATATTGTATACCACAAATACTATATAAGTGCTGCTGCAAGTTTCATTCACTATTGAAAATGATAATTGTTCAAACAAGATCACTCAAATGTCCAAACAACAGCACACCTTATCTACATCAACTAAAGGTACACGGAACTGTAATGATGAGTCCAACCAATCAGGTGATGATGATGAAGATACCTGAAAGAAGATCCAAAGTTCAATCAATTCCTAGTGAACAAACATTAAGTAATCCAGCTTGTGGCCGGCTCCATACTTATGCATAATAATTAAAATCATTAAAATAAAACTTGTCAGTTAGTGCTTTTACGCTATAACTATTTATGCATAAACTACATATTTTGAATAGTACTGAAGTTTAAATTGTAAAATGATAGAAAATAAAAAAAAATATTAATTTATAAAGCCAAAAAAAGCAAAAAAAAAAAAAGNAAAAAAAAAAAAATGAGAAGAAAGAAAAAAGTAAGTCAGAAAAAGAAACGATGGGATAAGTCAAAGGGGGGATGAAAAAAGGGATATAAAGAACATATTAATGACCTATAAGGAAGTGATCTTCACTTCAAGTACCAGATTATGTGCCAAACTGAATATATGACCTAATATATTGATCTTGTTTGGTAGAGAGCATTTTGAGACCAAATTACAGGTTTGACCAGTTAGAACCTCTAATTTGTCTATTTATCTATTTGAAATAGCTTTTTGAATCCAAAAAACTAATTTCGAAAAGCTCAATATAGGAGCTTTTTGGAATAAGAATGGCAGTTTTAGTTATTTTTGCATATTAAACAACTAATTATTTACCAAATAATTCTACAACACTTCTACATAATCAGCTAATCTGCTATTCAATTTGTTATCTGCTTCCCGCTATCAGCTAAGTGCCAAACAGTGCCAATACCCCAAGGTTTTTTATACATGAAAGAAAGAAACATGACGAAGATAACATGATAATTTTGAAACCAATATGAAGTTTTATAGAGATGGAAAGATGTTCCCTAATAAAAAGGTGAACGTGCTGGTACACATTGATAATGGAAAACAGAATTTGTACTCGGAACAACATGAGGTCAAATCAATTCACCAAATCCAATCTAATAAGTGTTTACATTAATCTGCTTATTGAGTTGATGCATCCAGAAAATCAAAAACTCATTCTTCAAGAAATTCCTGCTCCCTATTCATCCCATCACATGTAAAAGTTGCAATAGAAAAGAGAGAAGAATGAGGGAACAAAATTGCATGCACGAGCCCCACTCTCAAATGAAACTATACACCATATACCGCTAGCACTATATGAAAGTTACAATTAGTCAAGCCTACAAAACACCCACGAATGAAATATCTTGAGATGGTCTAAATCGACTGCCCATGAAATTAATCATGTTGTTCACCACCAAAAAAAAGTATATTAGGACAAGAAAAAGTATATTAAACCATGAAGACTTTTAAATGAGACTGGAGAACAAATAAAATTAAAAAACATTTAAAAGATATCGCTTCTTTGTAAAAAAAAGTATTTAAATTCACTAACGAAAGTTTGACATGAGAGCAAAAAGAAGGAGAAGAAGCTTAAACTAAATATTTTATCACTTGGGCATCTCAAAGTGCATACTTTATCTTCTGGCAAAAAACATTATTGTCATTCATGTTTCTACTTCAAAAATAAGAATATGAAAAAGAAATATTATGTCTACATTAGAACCACACTTTGAAGATAATTGCTCAGAATTTTTAACAATCCAAAAACCATTGGCATCAGAATGTTCTACCTTTCTATCACTCTCAAAGAGAGAACATTTCCCAGCATTTTCATCCGAATTACTGATATTCTTTGCCTGTTGTAATCTACATAGGTCATATTTTCAAAATAAAAATGAAATAAACAAAGCAAACCAAAGAGAGAAACGCAAAAAATTTAAGAAAATAATATACAAGATGCTAGTAAGACCTCATTAACAATTTCTGATGTGAAGGATCCATGAGCCCCATTGCCTTCTCCGGAGCTAAAACCATCAGCCCTTGGAAAAGGCTTTTTGCTACTATTTGAGCCAGACTGACAAGGAAGAACGGTCATCTCACTAGACAAAAGACAGTTATCTGAGGCATTTGCCATGGTTTGATCATCAGAAATATCAACGTCCAGACTCATATCAAGAGGGGGTTCAAAGGCCTACCAATACGAATAGCAGAGGTAGGTCTTAAAACCATCATATTAAGCACATTTACATTGTAACCAGAAAAAACAATTGTGATATAAGAATACAAGTAATCATAGAAAACTGAAATAGGAACCAGCAAAGAAGAAACCAGGATGCACAATCACCTTGAGCATTTCAAATATGAAGTAAGAATTTTGTGTGACACACCTGCAAGGAATAAACAAGCTAGAATTAACCCATATATTTATAGAATCAAAACATTGACCCAGCCGAAAAAAACATATGGCTTAATGCATAACCGTGCCTCTGATATACAAATGTCATATCTAACTCCTTTAGAAAGATGTTAAACCAAAACTAGTAAATGGTGTTTAAAAAGCACACACATTGTAATTTAAGCATAGGGTTGTCATCACTACGGGTGTCATGGGGTATATTTTTTATGCAGCCACTGAAAAATGTGAGTGGCATCCCAAAAATGAGGGCAGAAACGGTGATCAAAAAGACGTGCAGAGAGATGAGGCAATAATCCTCCTTTTTACCATGTCATGGGGCGTGAGGCGAGGCGCTCGCCTTATTCAAGCAAGGCGAGCCAATGGAAAAAATAGAGATTTATGGACATAAGCATATAAAATTATAAATTATGAGTGAACATTATCCAATTTATAAATTGAAACAACATAAGCATATAAACTATAACAATGAAGTATGAGCTTTATCAAATTTCATATTTTATTCCTAAACTGAAAAATTAAAAAATAAAAAATAANGCCGGCAACATCTGTCGCCGGACATTAGTGCAGCAGCCTGAAATACAGAGAACCAAAGAGGAAATAGCTGTACAGAGAAAAATAGAAAAAGCAGAGAAGAAAACCAAGGAAAAAAACATAGCTTTCTCTTTCCACCACCGGAATCCGGTCAGGTGATGAAAAGGCATAACCTAATTTAGAGTTTTGCTGGACCAAGTAAGGAAAACTGAAAATGCATGGAAAAACCCGTAACCATAATATGTCAAAAAAGCTCCTGCTCGCCTCCTTTTCTCATAGCGCGCAGGTCGCCTTTGGTCTCCACACTGAAGGTGCTCGCCAAGGCGTCACCTCAGCTACTCGAGGCGGCCACGCCATGGCGAGCCATATTAATTACTGGGCAGACAGGTGATGTTCGGCGAAAGAAATATTTTCTTTTAACATTATGATTATTAAATCACACCTCCAGTGGTGTGCTCATCAAGAATAACCTTAAAACAAACGGTCTTCAGGCAAACAAAGTAAGAATTGGATAGGGCCGATAAATAAATTGCAAGTCAAAAATTAAATCCATTTAAGTAAAAAAGGCGCAGAAAACAAATATTTAGCTAAAACTCGACCTCAGCAATTATCTTGTAATTCAAAACAAAGAAAATGGTAGACTTGACATACCATCTAAGTTTTTGAAATTTCAGCGGAAGGTGCAACAACAGCGCCTGTGAAATCCCAGTACCATTAATCAGGAGGAACAATGCTAAAAAAACTGGTTTATAGAGTTGAATGTTTAAATAGCTAATTCACAGTATCATATAAAAATCAATTCATTCACAACTCAAAATTAATGCATCGCACTATTTAAATGAGGCTCTTCACATATTCCTTTCTCTAACAATGCTTAACAGACTTGCTAACAGAGTTTCAAATTTCTTAACTCCTTTAAGATGCAACTATTCTAAAAAATCTCATCAAGAATGGTTCAAACGTAATAAATATCCAACCCATACAGCCGTGCAGTGGGCATATGATTAAGGTTCAGATTAGTTACTAATGATCACAAAGAAACCTTGTGGGCAAGCACAAGCCTTCCAAAGCATCTTTCATATCTTCTAATATCCTCCTCCGCAGCCTCTGGATAGCTGTATTCAAACCAGATGAAAGATAAGATTACATAAGTTGCAATCTTTTTCTTCAATTACCAGTAAGGTGACATGTTCCCACAACAAGAAGGATGGCAGGAAAGATACGGCAAAAGAAAAAAACTCACTCCTGCAACATTTTAGCTGAGCCATTTTTTACTATTCTACTCGTATATAAGCCTTTGAGATTTGCTAATAGAGAAGAAAACAGTTTAAGCCGCACGATGGGCCACAGATTGAAAAATATGATTTATAAACATGCTAAACTATCCAAGGCTCCAGCTGAAGTTCAACAATCAGGCTTCATATACTACAAGAATGAGCAATACAATTCACTTCCCGTTTCAGTGGCCAATATAGAGGTTTTATTGGTCAAAATCAGTTTTACTAATAAAATAGAATTAAGAAGCATAACAAAAATTAGCAATGAATGAAGGCATATGAATTCAATTGACAGAAATTAGAAAAAAATCATTTTTCAGAATCAACAAAATAATTAGAAGAAAGTGGACGGACACACACATGCAATTTACACAATTATACACAGATTAACTTGTTACGGTGCATTGAATTAAAAAGGCGTACTTGAGATAAGCGCTAATAATACGACGGAGGGATTTCACTTCGAGGGCTTGTTCCAATTTTCTGCGACGTAATTCCTCATCTTCAATCGACGCCATCTTCTGCCTGCTCTTTTTTCTTTTTCACATTTTTTGAGTTGTGTGGAGTATCATAGGTTTTTCACTGGTGTTAATTCCAAAATAAATCCTAAGCTTTCATATTTTAACAATTCAATTCACATCTATATTAATAATCTATATCTATTATCTATTAGTATGTACCGGTGCGATGACCGAAATTGAAATATTAAATAAATTATTTTCACAAGTTCATAATTTATTTTTTACATTTTTTAATTAGTATTAAATTTAAAAAATAATAGGATTATAATTTATTTTTCATATCTTTTAATCAGTGTCCTTTTTTAGTGAGAACATTAAATATGAGCATGTCAGGCTAACCTGTAAAATAAATAATATATTGTAATGCTCCGTTTGGTTATGGACTATTTGGGAATTATTTATTATTATTATTATTATTATTATTATTATTTATTATTATTATTAATATTATTATTATTATTACTATTATTATTTATCTTTATTTGTTGTTATTATTATTATTTATTGAATGCTAAAAATTATTAAATGTCTAATATAATTTACTTGTCAAATTGCGACTAAATGTTTAATTGTCTAATTATTATTTAACTGTCAATTTCAATGTAAAGCCTAATTGTCTAAGTGTTATTATTTAATTAAAATGTATGTATTTATATTATTATAAATATTATTATATTGGCATTATTATTGTTATTTGGAATATTTTCCTTATTTTATTTAATTTCGGTTGTGATGAAAATTGCTCGTCTTATTTGTCTACTTTATATAAATTGCTATGTGGCTAAAATATGTAGATATTAGATGATTATATGTTATTCATATGTGTTAGAATATTTAGGATTTATTTGATATAAATTTTGAATTGTTTCGGCGTTTTTCGGTTTAATCGCGTAAACCGAACTTTTATCTGTTTCGACCAGAATTATCGGACCTTGATCTCGGTCCAATTTTGGTGCATTGGTTCGGCTCTTACACTTTATTTTCAGCCATATTGACATTAGTAATTAAACCCAAAAGTCATCTAATATTCGGCCCAATTGAGTTATTTTCTTTGGCCCAATTTCTTTTCATCCAAACGTGCAATTGGATCTCCTTCACAGAATTTCCCCAAATCTCTCCACCATTATCGTAACGTCTCTCCTTAAAATCGCGATTGAGAGAGATTTTCCTCTTCACAAAACTCTCGTCCGATAAATCGCCGCTTTTCAGATCGAGACAGAAATCCCAATTCTCGACTTTCTCAGGCTCGCAATCGCCTCCCTCCCACGACTTCCTCTCGGAAATCCCTCCTCACCGGCAAGCAATTCTCGTTCATTCGCGAACAGAACCGCCGACGAACCAGTCGAGAAATTCTCGTCGGCGACCTTCAACAGCAGTGGCCCTCCTTCTGTTCGTTCACGACGGTCAGTGAGCAACGGTGATCTTTTTTCGAGGAGTTCCGCCACCACGAGACCGAACCTTGAGCAGACCCCGGCTTCCGACGACCACCTCCTCTGCGAACCCGCCCTGCTCCGCCGCTAACCAGCAGCAACGCCGCGAGCCCGACGCCGCGACCTGCAAATTCCGGCGACCTCAACCTTCGCGAGCCCTCCTCTTTTAGCCTCCAGTCGCGGCCACCAGGAGTCCCCGCCGACGACCAACTGCCGTCGTCCTCTCCGTCACAGGCCTGCAGCCACCGCGAGCGACGGATCTCCAGATTCACTGAGGAGATCTCCTTTGAGATCGAACCAGGAACACTGAAATCCGCGACACCCGACCTACATTTCGACCTCCTTGAAACACCGAGTCCCTTTGCCGGCGTCCTCCACTGTCTCCTTCGATTCAACGAGCAGTGCCTCCGTGAGTTGGAGCAGTCGCTGAACCTCCGTCCACGAGCAGCCCCGCCGGCGTCCGTTCACCACCCGTCGCTTGGAGCCCAGCCACGTCGCAACTCTTCCGGTGACCCCCGACCTTTGGCAGCCGCGCGTGGCTAGCAATAAGCCGTTCTCAGCCCGGCGACCTTGGAGCGTAGTACCGGCACCCCGTCGGCCTTCGGTTAGGGCCCGAACAGCAGCGGCAGCCCTTTCGGACCCTGTGCGAGAATTTCGACAGCCCTTTCGGGCCCCGTACGAGAGTGGCGGCAGCCCTCCTCGTCCTGCTTGAATTGGTACCTGGCTGTATGTTTCACACTTGAATCGATTAATTACGATTTTCCCTAGTGTGAACGCAACGCTGTATGTTCAGAACCTCGTCCAGCTTGAGGTCGCAACAAATCAAGTAATTACAGTACCGTCCCTAGTGTGAACGCAACGCTGTATGTTCAGTACCTCGTCCTGCTTGACGAGAAGGACGAGGTACTGAACATACAGCGTTGCGTTCACACTTGAATTGGTTAATTATGGTACCGTCCCTAGTGTGAACGCAACGCTGTATGTTCAGTACCTCGTCCTGGCCTCGCATCAGCGGCTGAGACTACCGGGAGCAAGGGGCGTTCATCCGAAGCGAGGCCGAGTCTAATAATCCGCCCCTCTTGTGCGTGTAGTCCGAAGAGAGGTGATTTTCGCCAAATCCCTTTTCTTTTCTGATCTTGTGATTTGAGATAAATTTGCGTGCTATGCGTTGTTTGGATTTGGGGGGTTGAGCATGAATCTGGTGAAACTTTGTTAAAGTGTGAGATAACTGGACTGTGTAACAGGTTAGATTAATCTTGAAATTGAGATTTTACTTATGTGAATATGTGAGGATCTAATTGTATTGTAATTATGAAATTTGTGGCAACTTGTCTTAAATTAGTTTGAGCCTTTTTCTTCGGTGCCGTTTAACTTGGTAATATGTGGCTGTAGAAGTGAGTTTAAAATTTGTTATCGAGAATCATTAAAAACATGCTTGAACATTGTTGAGATTAAAGATAGGATTTGAGCATCATGTATGTTGTTGTAATATGCTTATTTTTCAGTCGTGTAGAGCTGGTTATGTATGCTTTTGATTAGTTGTGATTAGAGAGCTTGTATGCCATGAGAGTTGCCTTGTTTATTATGTGCCCAGGCCCTGTTCTGTTGCGAAATTTCAAGTCTTTGTTGCTTTGATTTCTATGTCATTTTCATGCTAAAGTTGCAGCACAAAATAAATTAGTATGCCTGCTCATGTGTTGGAGAAAGAAATGCTTGTTTAAGGTGTTACCTTGCCCGGTTTTGCCTCACTTTGAGTGCTTTATTCATGCTGTCAATGTATTGTATTATTTATAGGACATTGTATTATTTATACACTATAGCATGTGTTTTGTATGCTTTATTTGATTACCTATTTTGCTAGACATTTTTTGTATATTTTAGGAGTTTTTATTATGTGCATTCTATTTTATGTGTTATAGTTGTTGGTTTGTGTGGCCTAGTCAACACAATCAAAACCCTTAATAATAAAAAATTCATAATTTTAGGTTCCCGAAGAGTCGAGCTCTCGAACCTATCTTGAACTTTTGCGAATTTGTCAATGTCGGACCAGGTGGGTTTTATTTGAAAAGTTTCTATGCATTAATTAATTGCTATTATTGTGGTATGATCAAAGTATACATGTGAACCATGTAGCTTTCGATGTGAGCTATATTGGCCGTCGAACGGTTATCCCCGTAGCTATAGAACGTACCCGATAGGGTGTCTCCTTTATTTATGTATGGCAGTCAGGGCGTGAGCCTTGGCTGGTGATCCTCGATGTAAGTCCGATGGGATGTTTCCGGGCATTCGGGGTGGATTTACTCCTACTGTCTGGGCATCGAATGTAAGGCCCGCGGGGGTTTTCGATACGTGTATCAGCAGTGGTCTATTGGTATAGGTGTGCACATGAGAGTCGACTCTGGGAAGGAGATGGGATATTAATTGATTTGTGTTCATACTGCGACCATACCTGCTTTACTTATGAAATTTAATATTAATTATTGCATAGTGGTGAGCACCTCGATTTCCTATTGTGCTCATCCCCACCTGCTCTTCATGGATGCAGGTTAGTATTTGCGGGCACGACAGAGGAAAGCGAGTGGTGGTCATGTTATTGATTATTTTCGCTGTTTAAATTGTTTAATATGATTTATGCATTCCTGACTTATGTTGAGTACTGGATTATCGATAGGGAGTGTACTCCCTAGTAATTATGGATTTGATGAACCCAGTCTTGGAAGTTGATGTCATTTATGAACCCGGCTTGGGTATTGACTATTTATGATTATTGAACCCGGTTTGGGTGTTGATTATTTATGAATATTGAACTCGTTGGGAATTGCATATGTGATATTGTTAGAATTGTTTTGAAAATTGAGTAGCGCCTCAAGTGTTTCGAAATAAATTTTGAAAAATTTATTTTGAATTTCGGCAAATAAAAGTGGGGCTTTACAGTTTGGTATCAGAGCCAGTCTGCGTTTCTGTAGACTGGTATGTATGAATAATGTGAACTCTGTGAAATACTGGCATACTATGACGTAGTATATATGACCACTCACTTCCGTCGTGCCGCGACAACTCAGGTATGATTACTTGAGTAAATTTGGAACTACTTATGTGAAATATTGGGATATTATGATATGTAAATTGGGGCTTAGGAATTTATCCTCCTACTTTTAAACATACTGGAACTCTAGATGAGTGGCGAACCTTAGTTGTATGAATTTGAACTCTAGTGATATAGAGTTAAGTTCTAACTTGAGGTTTTGTTTGTTTAGAATTTGATATGGTGTTATCGATCTGAGTTCTGTGTATAACAGTTCTCTCGATGTATTTTGGTGTCTTCGGAAGAGGACCAGTCGCGAGCTATCTTGAAAGGAGAAGGCTTAAACGAAGGGAACAGGCAACCGAAGAAGTCCCAAGTGTGGGATATTCGGAGGTCTGTAACCTTGGTTATTAGAACCATCGGATGTGTATTTGACCCCTCCAGTCGAGTGCGAGCTGGAGTAGAGTCTGGGCGCCTTGTGCATACTTAATGTCTGACCCCGAGAAGTGTTGGGGAAACTTAATGCGTAACACCATCGCGACTCTCGAGAGTGGCTAGGCCTCGAGAAAGACGATAGTGACCTATTCTTTTATGAAATTCTCTCCGCGAAGGAATCCGACCTTGTTCTTAAGGCGGATAGACCGAACCGGCACCGCGTGTATATTTTATTCCGCAATTTTGAGTGACATTCCTGTCTTGAAGGAGGCGTCAAAAACTCTTTTCCATATTTTGCGCCGTGAGCGATTTCCTAACGACAGCAGGACTTACCAGGGACAACTTGAACCGATAGTGGAGGCAGAGAGTCGTGGACTCATGGAGGCGAAGCAGCCATGTTTCATTCTTGAATTTCTGATTTCTTGTAGACTTTTGCAACCTTTGTTTATTCCCATTCGCATGACAAACAATCTTGAATTGTTCTTGAGACTTTTTTTTGTTATCCAATTTTCGTATTTTGAGGATTTCGCTTGATCTTCCCCTACTTTTGATTCACTGAGTAAACTATTTTAAGCTTCCCAACTTTAAAACTCGCTTCTCTTGAAGTGTAGCTAATTCTGGTTTATCTTATGTTGCGAGTTAGACTTTGTTTTGAAAAACAAGATTTCAAGTGAGATTAAGCATCTCTTTGTTTCTGCTTATCTTTTTTCTCTTGCGAAGTATGAGAGTTTCGTTCGGATGACATCGCTAGAATATCACGAAGATTCGAGGGCAAAATTTTTCTAACGCCGCTTTTGTGAATAGCCTAACCTCGATGGGACAATAATTTTTCACGCTCGGCATCGAGATTAACGAACAGGAACTGAAGCCAGCACAATCCGGTTCGATAAGAAGATGGAAAGTTTTTCTACCTTTAAAGATTTATGCAGAAGCCTTTTAAGGAGGATAGACGAGACAGAAACAAGCACATCGCGTAGTGCAGACCCGTCCTTACTCTAAATCTTGTTCAACGTAAAAAATTTTGTTCTTTTCCTCCTTTCGGAATCCCGGGAGGAACTCCGCGTTCAAATTCCTAAGTGTGAAGATTGAGAAGTGAGTTGCGGTCGTTTAGGACTGCTGACACGATTAGCTACCCGATGAAGAGCTGACGTGTCGGCCGACGCTGTTAGTCGGAAGAGTCGAAGCGTGCTAGTTATTGTATGTCTCGGCAGGAGCTGCTGATTGGAGATTATTCCCGATTGAATAACTGTATTAGAATTTCATTGAGAATTCTCGTCTATCTCAATCGTTGATCTCTTCGCGTATTAGAATGTGTCGTTAGGAAAGAAAGTGGACTTGGAACTCGGACTTATACCTTTTTATTTTCAAAAACCCTCGAACTTTGAAATTGTGGAATACCTGAAATATATGTTGTTTTGTTGACCCCAAAATTTTTGAAATTTGGTAAAACCATTCCTTTTTGGTAGCGTTGAATTGTAACTTCTTGTGAAAACCTGGACCAAACGCCGACCCTGACTGGGTGTAGCCACGCGAAGTGGTGGTCGAGCACGCACAACCTTGCTGAGAGACGGGAGGCTTGCGCGCGGCCGACCGTTGACTCGCATACGAACTGCAGCCGCCATCACCGAACGCACAAACTCCCCAGGCTAGCGTGTGCGGCCAAGCCTCGACCTTACATCTGGTCTCCGAGTAGGTGGGTACGCACGCGTCCCAGCGCCCCGCTTATGCAGCGCCCGCGAGCGTGCCGCCTCTTGGGTGACAGTACACTAACCCTGAACCTTCGATTCATTTCTTTGATCAACCAGTTTTGCTGAGATATTTATGTTACCCCGAACCTTGAACCGAGAGCTCCAAGTTCCACTAAAATGTGTATAAATCCTTAATCGATGATTTCTGATTAAGGAGTGTAGTCGATGAGTCTCTATGCTTTACTGGAGAGTTTCTCGAGTCGACAAATTGGGAATGTCGTGTTGCCTTGGGTCAAGCCTTATGTTTGTGCATAAGGGTTGCGTTCGACTCGTGGAGTCGATATCATGAGAATGTGAACTTGATGGTGTCATGTTTTATGTATGTGATACCGTGTTGTGGTCTCAGATTGAGACGCACGGTCTGTGAAGGAATCGTGAGCAAGTTATCAGTGTGACTCGGTCACGAGACTGAAACTTGGTGTCACGTGACCACCTTGATGGTGGGGTAGTCGGAGTACACTGACAATACACCGAACGACCTGTTGAGGTCTTGTGTGTTGTTAGGTCTGAAGCAAGTCGTTGATACTCATGAGTATAGGCTAAACCGAACTAGGTCCCTTGCAAGGTGATGTACATCTGAGCTCGGGCAGGACTGATCACCCTCCCAAGCAAAAAAGTAAACATATGAGCATGGGCGAGTCGGTTTGGTTCCTGTATGTGAGTGTATGTCTTTTTGTAAAACGGCGATAGGACTCATGGGAACGGAATTGAGTTCCGGAGAATGATGTCGGACCTCGTGATTTGGAATTCCTGTGCGAGTCTATCGTATCTTTTTTTATGTGTATTCTTTCGCATTTACGAGGACGGAAATAGTTTAAGCAGGATAGATTGTAATGCCCCGTTTGTTTATGGAATTATTTGTTATTTATTATTATTATTAATATTATTATTATTATTACTATTATTATTTATCTTTATTTGTTGTTATTATTATTATTTATTGAATGCTAAAAATTATTAAATGTCTAATATAATTTACTTGTCAAATTGCGACTAAATATTTAATTGTCTAATTATTATTTAACTGCCAATTTCAATTTAATGCCTAATTGTCTAAGTGTTATTATTTAATTAAAATGTGTGTATTTGTATTATTATAAATATTATTATATTGGCATTATTATTGTTATTTGGAATATTTTCCTTATTTTATTTAATTTCGGTTGTGATGAAAATTGCTCAGTCTTATTTGTCTACTTTATATAAATTTCTATGTGGCTAAAATATGTAGATATTAGATGATTATATGTTATTCATATGTGTTAGAATATTTAGGATTTATTTGATATAAATTTTAAATTGTTTCGGCGATTTTCGGGTTAATCGCGTAAACCGAACTTTTATCCGTTTCGACCTGAATTATCGGATCTTGATCTCGGTCCAATTTTGGTGCATTGGTTCGGCTCTTACACTTTATTTTCAGCCATATTGATATTAGTAATTAAGCCCAAAAGTCATCTAATATTCGGTCCAATTAACTTATTTTGTTTGGCCCAATTTCTTTTCATCCAAACGTGCAATTGGATCTCCTTCACAGAATTTCCCCAAGTCTCTCCACCATTATCGTAACGTCTCTCCTTAAAATCGCGATTGAGAGAGATTTTCCTCTTCACAAAACTCTCGTCCGATAAATCGCCGCTTTTCAGATCGGGACAGAAATCCCAATTCTCGACTTTCTCAGGCTCGCAATCGCCTCCCTCCCACGACTTCCTCTTGGAAATCCCTCCTCACCGGCAAGCAATTCTCGTTCATTCGCGAACAGAACCGCCGACGAACCAGTCGAGAAATTCTCGTCGGCGACCTTCAACAACAGTGGCCCTCCTTCTGTTCGTTCACGACGGTCAATGAGCAGCGACAATCTTTTTCCGAGGAGTTCCGCCACCACGAGACCGAACCTTGAGCAGACCCCGGCTTCCGACGACCACTTCCTCTGCAAACCCGCCCTGCTCCGCCGCTAACCAGCAGCAACGCCGCGAGCCCGACGCCGCGACCTGCAAATTCTGGCGACCTCAACCTTCGCGAGCCCTCCTCTTTTAGCCTCCAGTCGCGGCCACCAGGAGTCCCCGCCGATGACCAACTGCCGTCGTCCTCTCCGTCACAGGCCTGCAGCCACCGCGAGCGACGGATCTCCAGATTCACTGAGGAGATCTCCTTTGAGATCAAACAAGGAACACTGAAATCCGCGACACCCGACCTACATTTCGACCTCCTTGAAACACCGAGTCCCTTTGCCGGCGTCCTCCACTGTCTCCGTCAATTCAACGAGCAGTGCCTCCGTGAGTTGGAGCAGTCGCTGAACCTCCGTCCACAAGCAACCCCGCCGGCGTCCGTTCACCACCCGTCGCTTGGAGCCCAGCCACGTCGCAACTCTTCCGGCGACCCCCGACCTTTAGCAGCCGCGCGTGGCTAGCATTAAGCCGTTCTCAGCCCGGCGACCTTGGAGCGTAGTACCGGCACCCCGTCGGCCTTCGGTTAGGGCCCGAACAGCAACGGCAGCCCTTTCGGACCCCGTGCGAGAATTTCGACAGCCCTTTCGGGCCCCGTACGAGAGTGGCGGCAGCCCTCGAGGCCTCGCATCAGCGGCTGAGACTACCGGGAGCAAGGGGCGTTCATCCGAAGCGAGGCCGAGTCTAATAATCCGCCCCTCTTGTGCGTGTAGTCCGAAGAGAGGTGATTTTCGCCAAATCCCTTTTCTTTTTTGATCTTGTGATTTGAGATAAATTTGCGTGCTATGCGTTGTTTGGATTTGGGAGGTTGAGCATGAATCTGGTGAAACTTTGTTAAAGTGTGAGATAACTGGACTGTGTAACAGGTTAGATTAATCTTGAAATTGAGATTTTACTTATGTGAATATGTGAGGATCTAATTGTATTGTAATTATGAAAGTGGCAACTTGTCTTAAATTAGTTTGAGCCTTTTTCTTCGGTGCCGTTTAACTTGGTAATATGTGGCTGTAGAAGTGAGTTTAAAATTTGTTATCGAGAATCATTAAAAACATGCTTGAACATTGTTGAGATTAAAGATAGGATTTGAGCATCATGTATGTTGTTGTAATATGCTTATTTTTCAGTCGTGTAGAGCTGGTTATGTATGCTTTTGATTAGTTGTGATTAGAGAGCTTGTATGCCATGAGAGTTGCCTTGTTTATTATGTGCCCAGGCCCTGTTCTGTTGCGAAATTTCAAGTCTTTGTTGCTTTGATTTCTATGTCATTTTCATGCTAAAGTTGCAGCACAAAATAAATTAGTATGCCTGCTCATGTGTTGGAGAAAGAAATGCTTGTTTAAGGTGTTACCTTGCCCGGTTTTGCCTCACTTTGAGTGCTTTATTCATGCTGTCAATGTATTGTATTATTTATAGGACATTGTATTATTTATACGCTATAGCATGTGTTTTGTATGCTTTATTTGATTACCTATTTTGCTAGACATTTTTTGTATATTTTAGGAGTTTTTATTATGTGCATTCTATTTTATGTGTTATAGTTGTTGGTTTGTGTGGCCTAGTCAACACAATCAAAACCCTTAATAATAAAAAATTCATAATTTTAGGTTCCCGAAGAGTCGAGCTCTCGAACCTATCTTGAACTTTTGCGAATTTGTCAATGTCGGACCAGGTGGGTTTTATTTGAAAAGTTTCTATGCATTAATTAATTGTTATTGTTGTGTTATAATCAAAGTATGCATGTGAACCATGTAGCCTTCGATGTGAGCTATATTGGCCGTCGAACGGTTATCCCCGTAGCTATAGAACGTACCTGATGGGGTGTCTCCTTTATTTATGTATGGCAGTCAGGGCGTGAGCCTTGGCTGGTGATCCTCGATGTAAGTCCGATGGGATGTTTCCGGGCATTCGGGGTGGATTTACTCCTACTGTCTGGGCATCGAATGTAAGGCCCACGGGAGTTTTCGATACGTGTATCAGCAGTGGTCTATTGGTATAGGTGTGCACATGAGAGTCGACTCTGGGAAGGAGATGGGATATTAATTGATTTGTGTTCATACTGCGACCATACCTGCTTTACTTTATGAAATTTAATATTAATTATTGCATAGTGGTGAGCACCTCGATCTCCTATTGTGCTCATCCCCACCTGCTCTTCATGGATGCAGGTTAGTATTTGCGGGCACGACAGAGGAAAGCGAGTGGTGGTCATGTTATTGATTATTTCCGCTGTTTAAATTGTTTAATATGATTTATGCATTCCTGACTTATGTTGAGTACTGGATTATCGATAGGGAGTTTACTCCCTAGTAATTATGGATTTGATGAACCCAGTCTTGGGATTTGATGTCATTTATGAACCCGGCTTGGGTATTGACTATTTATGATTATTGAACCCGGTTTGGGTGTTGATTATTTATGAATATTCAACTCGTTGGGAATTGCATATGTGATATTGTTAGAATTGTTTTGAAAATTGAGTAGCGCCTCAAGTGTTTCGAAATAAATTTTGAAAAATTTATTCTGAATTTCGGCAAATAAAAGTGGGGCGTTACATATATTATCTCACTGACACATTTATGTTAATATAAATTTGATTTTAGTATATATGTTTATTATTTGATATAAGAGAAAATAACAATTTTTACTTAATATAGGAGAAAATAATAATTTTACTTAATTATTATTTTATTATAAACTTTGTTATCATATAATGTCATTATTATTTATCAAAGTTATAGAAGTTGTACATCTTTTTTTCTTTTAATTTTATGTATTGATAAATATTTAATGCGCGTTAGTATTATTTATTTATGTAATCACTTTAAAATATGTAAATAAATTTATATTTTACAAAATATCACAGATGTTTTTTTAGAATTTAATTTTGTATACTAATTAAACGAATTTGATTTAGCAAATGCCAAAAACTCAATCCCTTCTGTAATCAAGATTTTTTTGATTTGCCTTATAAGGATTTATTGTTTAGTTAGCATATTCTGCAATGAAAATATACTTTACAAGAATTTCATTATAGAAATAAATCAAAAAGAAATATCTATATAATAAGAATAACCATTTACTAAAAATAGTAGTAAAAAATTTTGGGAGCATTTAATTCATATCTTTTTTTGGAAACTTTTTAAATATATGCATTAATTGCTTCCATATACACGTTTCAATTAAAATCAAATCAAATATGATAAAAACTATTGTTTCCTTAAATAATTATATTAATATCTTAATAATTTCATTGATATTCATTATAATAAATTACAAGATTGATTTTCTATGATTTATGTTGATAATATTTTGACCAAGATAAATATGACAATATATTATAAGTTCTAACCATAATATTATTTTTTTTCACAAATACTCACTTTATAGCCAAAAATATATATAAAAAATCATAACAGGTTAGGGTTAGGTAGAATTTCTTTTCCCAATTAATTACGCAAGATCAAGTTGGTGAATTAATATTTGCCAATATAAGTTTTTCTTAGACTATATTTATCCCCAACCCAACCCAACCCAATAATAAAAAATTATTTCTCTCTCCTACACCTACACAACCCAACTTTTAACAACCTACATATCTTTATCCCTAACCCAACCCAACATACTATTTATTTTATTTTTATTTATTAAATATTATCTACAATAATTTTTTTGTTGTTGTTTTATTTGTGATAAATTAATTAAAAAATTTATAATTAAAAATATTGATTTCAAAATATAATATTTTAAACTACAACTAAAAAAAAGATTACAAACATAATTAAAAATTGAAATTACATAATTCAGTATGATATAAACTAAACAAGTTACAAACATTTCAAATGAAATTACACATCAACTACCATTGTCAAATTTTTCTTATATGTGCTCAATCAAGTCATTTTTCAAAGTCGCGTGAGCTTCTCTATTATGGAGTTGTGACTTATTGGTCATATACGTAGATAGGTTTGTGATTCTTTCAGTCGAGTATTGAAAAGGCATATCATCGTCCTCTTCTTCTACTTCATTTATATTGTTCCTTCGTTGTTGCCTCCGTCCATTTCTAGGCCTATCGTTCATAAATCCTGTAGGATCATAATAATTCAAGTAGGCATCCCGTTCATCTTCTACTATCATATTGTGCATGCTGATACAAGCCATCATAAATCTTCCCATAAAAAAACGATCTCATACTAGACATGGTCGTTTGATAAATGCAAAACGAGCTTGTAGAACACCAAATGCGCGCTCAACATCTTTTCTAGCCGCCTCTTGGTGCTGAGCAAATAACTTGTGCTTTCGAAGTTGCGGAGAAGTAATTTAATAAATGCAGCCCATGAAGGATATATACCATCAGTGAGGTAATATCCCATATTTCTTTGTTGACCATTCACAACGTAGTTAATTTGTGGTGCACAACTTTCCAAAATATCATAAAAAACAGGAGATTGCTGAAGTACATTGATATCGTTGCAGGAACCTGGTGTTCCAAAAAAACGCATGCCATACCCATAAGTCATAGCTTCCAAAATAATTGTTGCTTTTTCACTTCTTCCTGCATATTACCCAGCCCATGCTGTAGGACAATTTTTCCATCCCCAGTGCATGCAGTCAATACTTCCCATCATTCTTGGGAATCCACGTTGCTCCCCCACATGAAGTATTATTGCCAAATCTTGTTCATTAGGCCTTCTGAGGTATTGGACGCCGAAGTTAGAAATGACGCTGTTAATATCCGAGTCCGGCTCCTATGAGGATACTGGTCTGCGAGACCGGGAGTCGAGTGGTGGCCGGCCGAACCGAAGAAGCCGGTCACCAAGATTGTTCGTAGGAGCCGAGCTGAGTAGAAGTCAAAGTCAAAGGGGATGGCGGCCAGGACTGGTCTCGAGGTCGGCACCTCGCCCCTTCTCGAGGTTAGCACCCTAACATCCCAGCCGCGAGGCCGACCTGACTCAGTGCTGAGATCGATAAAGGACCACGGACACCGAAGGACGAGCTATCATGGTTCAGCTCGGGACCATACTAGGTCGGCCCCCCGAAGGGGTTAGGGACCCAGAAATAATAAAATAAAGCCATTTTTCAACTAATGATTGTCGATGGGACGCCCCAGACTAGTCAGCAGGTCTAGGACGCCTAGCCCAGCCCAGGAGCATACCCCGCATTAAATGCAGTCCACACCAACATTAAATGTGTGGCAGGTAATGATTGGAAGATCCAGAAATCACTCCCAATCAGTCAGAGAAACGCCGGCCCGTCCTGCCGAACTACTATACGACAAGACCAGTGAACAGTACCTGAACAGTGCCGCATTAAAGAGCACTGTAAATAGTAACCCCCTCATTTATTTTTGGGTTGTTGAATCCCAACTGTCCTAGCTTTCTCTAAATTTTCTCTCTCTAGACTTGTAAGGAATTTGTATAAGAATCTGTAAGTATATATCACAAGTGCCGACCTCGTACGAG